GGGATTTTTATTTCCAGAACTGTAAATTTGTGCTCTATAGTTGTTATTTCTCTGGAACAGTGATGTGATTTGCGGCCAGCTCTTTTTGTTCTGCTTCACTTCACAGTGCAGCTGGAGAGAAGTCTGGATGATAGCCAGAGACTTTATTCTATAGATGCCGGGTTTCTTTTGCCTAGTGCTGTCAGCATCAGAGCTCTTGGGTTACTGAAGCAAAGGGGCCCAGAGTGGAGCTCTGCTGTGAGGGTCAGGTATGGTGTACAAGGTAAGTGATTTCAACAAATAATACCACACTTTTAAAACAACAACACAACAGACTCTTCATTCACTTATTTATTTTCCAGAGGATTCACAGAACATGCAGGAGTGCCACATGACGCAGAAGCTCCACAGCGAGTCTGATCCAGTCCAGATGTACCGTATAACAGCAGCACATGAACTCCACTGTTCCCATGTCATCAACCTAAACCACAAGGTCAAATTTATTGTCTCGCAAATAGAAATGTACTCTTTGGTTCCACAGGTTTAAAAAGCTTTTTGCAATTAATTCTAGTACTGATTCCCTTTTGGTTTCTTGCAATGCAATGCATATAATACAGTTCATGATAACAGATATGGCAACCTTCTGATTAGTGGATTGTTTCCACCAATAGATTCAACTTAAACATGAACGGAGCCCAATCCACGTCCAGTCATCTCTTGATGTAAGCTATGGAAAGCAGTGGAACCAGAGCAGCAACAAACACAGGGTCCTCTTCAATCAGTCCCTCAGAAACCAGTCTGAACCCGGCCTCACCAGTTATGCTGTGGAGGTTTTGCTTTACTAAAACATTCAGAATGAATCTCGACTGTGTACATCAAATGTGTTCTCATTGTCAGATGTTCAGGCTGTGTTCTTGATTATGATTATGTCCCGTAATAATGTATACTGCCTCTTCCAGCTCAGCCTGCGACTTCTAGACCGAGGACTGAATTACAGAACTCAGCTTCTGCACTCTTATTTCAAGAAACACAAATCTGAGAGCAGCACCCACCTGAAAATCAACTACAACAATCAGATACCTCTGGTAGCTGGCGTCCATTGGAAGGACGTGTCAACAAAGACCTCCCTTCAAAAGTGGGAAGGTGTGTAAGTATATATTCCCTTGATGGTCACCAACCAGAATCCTTCATCCATTTGTGAAATTGTAGATTTTAGAGATCTAGACACTATAATGGTACCATATCTATTACCTGCCAATATTACCGATTTGTTTTATTGATCATATTGGTAGACATTGGATTTTTAACTGCATGTTCATTTCCTTTTTTTTT